CGTTGAACGGGGGGGAAGTGCCATCACCATAGACGATAAAAAAACAGCACTAGCGGAAGGATAGTGAGGGGAACATCACGAACTAAGCCTCAGTACTAAGCCTCAGTAAGAAAGCGCCATTGAGTGAAGCATCCCGAAACAAAAAACAACACAGTAACGGTGTTCGAGGGAAATCGCACCTTGGGCCGAAATATCCAAGGGTTGCGCAAATTTCAGATCCATGAAGAATTAAAAAAGAAAATGACTCGTGTACTTCCGAATGGGGTCGACGGCCGGCGAACTCTCCGCCAAATCGAGCTACAGAAATCAAGTAATATTTGATTTCATGCGAAATAACCCCCAAAAAAGCTCTCTCAGGCCGCGTGATTTCCCCTTAGAACTCTCCGACGTTTTTGTTGAGCGGGAATTCCCTCAATGCAGCCGATATCCGCTGAAGCCAAGAATAACGGTGCAGTGTTCCTAATTTGTCTAGCACGCCAATGTAAAGCATTCGCGTACGGATTCACATGCAGGACACCAAAGTACTGCGATAGCTTTCTTCGCCTTATGTGGATACGCCTGTGACAAGCCTGGGACAGCAAGCTCCAGCCACCTCTAGAGATGGAGGCCAAGTTCAGAACCCCAGGTTACTACAGACTAAAGCAAGGCATTGCATGGTGCTGCAATGAGGAGAGCCTCTGCCTGGGGAACGGAACACGATATGTCAGCCCATATTTCCTCGTCGTCGGTTTTCAACGCAAGCCAACATGTACAGCCAGCTGGAGCAAAATGGATATCGCCGATTGTCGGGAAGACGCTTAGTGCGCAGCGCCCGTAGCAGCTCCTAGCGTTGTGAAGACCTCGCAGTCCAGCAGGAAATGTGAAACATGAACGAAAAACATATTAAGGGGGGAAAAGAACTGGAATTATGGAGCGCCAGCGCTTAACTTGTGGAGAAGGCTGACAGGAGCCTTCGTGACTGGCGCCGTGCCAAGTCCGTGCCCGAGAGAAACCAGTGCGACCGGCACTGAAATGTTCCTAACACGACGGAAACATCTTATTACTTGTTTACAATTACTAAACTTTTAAATCCAGTGGTGGAAAAAGTGTTCTTGCGTGGGAGAACGTGACGCGTAAATGATGAGCTTGCTAAGTAGACTGGTTCTTGAGAGTGCTGTGCCTGCTGAACGCAGGAAAGTTCACAGTTGTAGAACTTGTACTAATCCAAGAAAGTTGAAAAATATACTACACCACGTTTTCTTGAACTCCTTCTCGGAAGAATTCCATGTTGACTCCTCATGTTTCGCTCTTGTCTTACGAATTCGAGCAGGGCGTTTGTGGCTGCTGGGCGGTCCGTGGGGACATCTGCTCGAAAACTCTCCTGACTTCCTT